CTGGAGCACTCCAGCCTCAGCCTCTGCCCCCTTCTCTAAGCCAGCCCTACATTCTCCCTTGAACCCACTCAGGAGCCTAAGGGGCTCCTGTCTCAAAGTTATGCTTACATGTAGGTCATAATTCCCTTTCCTAGGAGAACATGATCTCATTGAGACATAGCAGGGGGAGATCAAGTTGTTGCTTCTTATTTTTAAAGAGAGAAATTATTAACCCCAATAATGTTGAATTAGTAGTCTTTTTGTTGAGATAAAAGAAGACATTTGGTTGGAGGGAGACACCATATAGTAGAGTCACATTGTCTAGGGTTAACTTCCTTCAGTTTCTTCCACTTTTTACAACTAACTTCCTTCACATACAAACATTTTTTCTTAAAAAGTCATACATGGAAAAGTTTGAAAATTTTAAGTAATATAATTTTTTATGACCCATTAGTACTCAGAGAAGAAATTTCCTTCTAGTCTTTTTCTCTCTGTGTATGTATCTAAAATGAGGTTCTGTATACATATATGTACATATATACATACATATATGTATACATATATAAATGGTTTAATATCTTTCTTTTTCACATTTTCCCATATTATTAATATCTTTCTTTTTCACATTTTCCCATATTATTATATATTCTCCTAACATAATTTTAATGGGTGCATAATTCATTTTATGGATGTTCCATTACCTATGTAAATATTTTTCATTGTTAGACATTTAAACTGCATCTAATTTTATTAGTATGAATCCTACTATAATTAATATACTTGTATCTAAATGTTTGTAGTCATTTCAGATTATTTCCTTAGGATGAATTTATTAGAGTACAAATACTGGAATAGAAGATGTGAAGTTTTTCTCATCCTGATATATATTGTTAAATTGTTTTCTCAAAGTTTTAGCATGCATACTTTCATTTCTTTTCAACATGTACTATTATCACTTCTGAAAATTTATGCCAGTTTGAAAGACAAAACATTATATGTATGGGCATTTTTAATTTTTTTCTTTGATTATTAGTGAGATTGACCATGTTTCAGATATGCATTGTCTTCTCCACTATTGGTACATCTTTCTCCACTAATTGTTATCTTGATTTTTTAAAATCACTGAGTTTTAGTGTTTTCCATATTTCTTTCACTTTTGAATCTGAAGATTACCTAAAAGCTCCACGACTTTTCATTTTCATAGACAAAATAAAATCTTGTAACCATTAAGGGTCTTGGGTGGTTAGCATTGATCATTTTGGTAAGTTTATAAAGCAAATTTCATTAATCAAGGACGGCCTCCATCCTCAACACATACACACTTACAAAAGAATTCTCTTAGACTGTCAATGTGGCTGTTTTGTGCAGCCTATGAGAATTTTCACCATCCTAGGAAATACTTCCACCCAATGTGGAATATTTCCATTCCATGCAGAATGTCCAGGCACATCTTGCCACAGTTCCTCCTACCTCAAACGCAGAAGTAGGAATGCCTTGATTTATGTTATACACATGCAGACCTGTGCAAAGCCCTAAAGTTTCAGTACAGAAAGCAACCATTATGACCCTGAGTCGGTTTGTTCCATCTCCTACAAGGCCAGAATTCCCACCAACTAAGCAGTAATTTAGAATGACCTAATGAGTATCCAAGCTTCCTTTATTTTCGCCATCTTTATTAGCCACTATGCAAATATTTTGGAAAAAGTAAAATTTAATTAAGAGTTTTTTTTTTTAATGTTTGAAAGCCTGGCAATAAAAACCTCTTTCTGGGCACAGATCATTCAAAATAACTGCAGTTACCTACTTAATGATCCATCCAAGAACCTGGGCTGGAGTGACATCCTCTGATCTCCTTTCCACCTGTGTCTTCCCAACTCAGGGGCTGTTCCTCACTTTCTACAGTTCTCTCCTGGACTTAGGAGATATTCACTATGTCTAAATGCGACAGGCAAGTGTTTTGGGGTGAAGTGCCTGGAGCATACTAAACACTTAATAGTGCCGGCTGTCATTACTATTACTAAGTGAGCTAAACTTCTCCCCAGTTAATGCTGCTTGGTAAAGGAAGGAACAGAGCAGGCAAAGCGGCTCCTTCTGTTTATAGAGGGATAGTGCAAGCAACGCAAGAATGAAGAATTTACTCTATTCGATAGTGAGGAATACCTGGGTACTAGTAATTTCAGAGTCTCCATTTTATATCAGTTCTACAACTAGTTTTTGAATCTTCTGAAGCCTCTTTCAAAAAGCTGGCATTGGTCCACTCAATCTCTGCTGGTCCCTGTCTCATTCACGAATGCCCCTGCATTTTTGTGCAAGTTCACACATCACTAGACTCAATGAACACAAATTCAGGGAAAATGCCCCTAGGAACTTCCTAAAGATACAGTTTCTCCTAAAAGGTAAGGAGAATAGGGATTAGTAAATTGATTTTATGCTCACTGCCTTATTTCCATTTCATTCGGAGGGGGTCCAATCAGGAGGTTAAAGCTCCAGGAGGAAGGTGAGAGCCACTCACCCTCGAGCCCTCCACGGCAGAGCGCAGGCTCCTGTTCGGTGCACTAGGACAATGTCCACAAGCTCTTTGCAGTGGTCTCAACCACCTGGGAACTGGAAGACAGAGCTTATTTACAAGGCTGTTTTTTCTTTTAAGGGAATGAGGAGTAAAGAGAGAGAACAGTAATGGTCTGTGGATGTTTTCAGAGGTGGCATATATTGAACTGAGAGAAAACAGGTCTTGAGGCAAGATCCGATTTCTCGGAGCAAGTGAGAAAACAAAACCACATTCCTATAATTATGCCCAAGTTCAGCCACCACCAGATGATGGCACTCTGACGTGAAAGACAGCAGTGCCAAGAATCAAATAAAGCTTCAGCAAAATTCAATGCCACACAGAAAACACATTAAGTATCCAACTCCTGTTGGCAGGGAATTCATGGAAAACCAATGTGAAGATCACTGATGTAAAATTTTATTTTCCAAAGGACAAAGGCGTCTGTCTATGCACAGGACTTTCTGTCTAGATTACTCCTAGTGCAGACTACTCTGTGGAGGCATATTTCTAACAATTCTTCACTAGAGGTGTCTTCTGAATTCTCTTCTACCTCTAACTGCACAAATGTGGAGCTAAGGCTGTCTTCTCTTGCTTCTTCACCCCCGCCTTTGTATCTTGAAAATATAGGTGCAAGTTTCTCAAAAATGCTGAGAGATACACAAAAAAGATGTATCGCACAACATCTTTATAGGCAAAAGCAACATGAGAAGTGTAAGTAATGGAGAAGAGCAGGAACACACTGCATTCGACTCTGAAATCTTTCAAGATTACTATCTGTGATGAATATATCATCACTCTTAAAATAAGTTCTAAAATTAGAATACATTCTAAAGTGTCCAAAAACAATGGAAAACACAGCATGCACTGTATTGCTCCGTGAAGTACGCTAACTGATACCTTTTACCACTTTGTCTACAGCTGGGCTTTTACAAAAATAAAGTCCAGAAAAAGACTGGGTTAACTCAGTGATGAATTTTCTTAAGTGAACTCCCACCTCTCACCTTTTCTCCACAATAAAAAGCAATCACACTTTTAAAAATGTGAAATCATGGACACACACAACAGTGTGGTGATTGAGAGAGGGAGGGGGTGGGTGGAGGTGAAAGGGGAATAAACAGCGATGGGAAAAATACAATAAAGTAAATGTAAAATATAATGTAAAAAATAATACAAAATCAGAGTGTGGTGAGAGTCAAATCATTCTTTTAAATGCATAAATCTGGGAGTATAAAAATTACTATGAACTTATTAAGGTTATATATTTTAATTGCCGGTTTTCTTTTCTTTTTTTAAGATTTTATTTATTTATTTTTAGAGAGGGGAAGAGAGGTAGAAGAAGAGGGAGAGAAACATCAGTGTGTGGTTGCCTCTCACACACCCCCCACTGAGGACCTGGCCCCCAAGCCAGGCATGTGCCAGGACTGGGAATCGAACCAGTGACCTTTCAGTTCACAGGCTGGCACTCAATCCACTGAGCCACGCCAAGCAGGGCCAGTTTTATTATCTTTAGCATATGCATAAGGGTACTTACAGATTTAGAATTTACTCTTGAGATACTATAAAACATCACTAGCTTCATGACCAAAGAAATATATGAATATGGAAAAAGGTAATAAAATTTACAAAATGTGTTAGTAAAAGCACTGTATATGTTTGTATAAAAACATTTAAAACTATTTAAAGGTCATTGCCAAAAAATATTTAAAATATAATAAAAAGAAAGTTAAAAATGGCTTTACTTAAATTTCAGTTGCTAAAATTTAACAGGGCCAGAGAATGTGGAAGCATCAAAGTTTAAGTAGAAATCCACATTAAAAAATTTCCATGGATTTCTCAGAGAGGCAGAGACAGAGAGAGAGAGAGCGAGGGAGCAGGCAAAGGGTCATCTGAGGACATTATTTTAGCCTCAACTTGAGTATCATTCAAATGGGGGAGCCAACGCCTGTTATTACAAAATGCAGTTTTCTACTGCTAAGCTCAGATGACATCCCCCCCATCTGCCAAAATTAGTGGATGAGAAATCATTTCATGAAGTCATACACAGACATGAAATACACTAGTAAAAGTTTGCTGCCATCCCTCAATCATCGCTTTGCTTGCCTAGGCTGGTGGCCAGCAGAAATATCTCCCTCTGCAAAACTGTTCAAAGTAATGACTCGGAGGAAGTGGTGTGCTGATACTATGAAAAAATCCCTCAAACACAAAGATAGTTCAAAAAGCATCTGTGTATGGCTCAGAGGAAACAAACAGCTCAGCTAATTTAACTCCAGATAAACCCCAGAGACCGGTTTACCTTGGCGATAGCTATACACACATGCAGGAAACTGAAGTACGGCACTTGTGCAGTGATTTCATTTGGTGCCAAGGGGATAAGAGGGCAGGGTTACCCATCCTGGGGTCAGGAGGAAGAGAATTTGTCCTACCTCTCATGGCTTCAGACAGAGAATCACAAATATGTAAGAGGACTTCATACCTTTTTATGAGACAGGTGGGCCCTGGACCACTGCCGAAATGGTCAATCGATGACCCTTCCTGAAGCCACTAGTAGACCAGAAGCTAATAATGAGCTGCTAACACATGGTATCTCCACTGCTGAAGCCTTCACGTGGGTCGTTCCACAGTGTCCTTACAGAGCCAGGAAGAGAGCAGGACACCTACAACAGTTGTTTCACTGGTCAACTTTGGGCTGAAATGCACTCACAATCTTTAAAATGACCACTATTGAATTTTCAGGTTTTGAGCATTTCAAAATATTCTTCATATTAAACAAACACATCAGCAATAAAGATCACATTATATTTGGCTTTGAAAACCATTTGGACTTTTCTGAAAATGCAGCTGCTTTTCTGAGAGAACAGGTGGAGATTGCTACCCACATCTTAAGAAGGTCCTTATTTTTATTTTCAAATAACTTTTATTTGAGATCATTAGATGTGTTAGCAAAAGTCTTTAAATTGTTTTTTCAATCCAGGGTCGGTATTGCTATTTTGATGTCTTTATTGCTAACGGGGTTAAGGAGGCTAAAAAAGCCCTCTGGTTTTGATCATTTGAGCAAATTAATTTCACAGTTAAAAGCCTATTTCTTTTTTCTTTCTTCTTTATTTCTCTCTCTCTCTCTTTCTTTTGTGAGAGGGAGACAGGAAAAAGGGATTAATCTTTAATATCAGAAATGTGTGACACTGACTTTCCACTGGGTACTGAGATTTTTTTAGTTCAAACATTTAGTACCCAGATCACATGTGGGGACAATTAAAATGCTTTAAATGCTGCTCTCCCTTCTTCAAGTGTTGGCCATAATATTCAAGCTGGGCACAGAAAGCAGCGATTTTTGTCTCACTAAGTAACCAACTCGAAGGGCAGCTCCAAGCTCTGTAGTTTTTGCAGTTTGTCTTTCTAGGTGGTACACCCATCAGCAATCCTCTGCAGCCCATAAAACCCAGCATAACCCTCTGGGCTTCTCTGGAAAAAAACCACATTGAGTAATAAGGGATAGAATGCTCCCTGTTCAGTGTTTCCAGTGGTATTGTCTGGCCAGAAGAAATACCAAATCACAGGCATCTGGGCAGAAGAGATGGCCCAGAAAGAACAATGATCTTAGACAGTACTGACCCCCCAGATTCAACATTTCCTGCTGTCTGCTTCATGCTGAGCTATAGGCATTGCAGCCAACAGCCATTTCTATCAGACGTGACTCCAGCTCTCAGATGGTCTTAAAGTGGCAATGGCCAACTTCCAGGGGGTGAGATGTTGTTCTGATTACAGTGAAAATATAGGGATCGGTGAAAAGATGTGGGTCCATGGCAATGACATTGAAAGGGGTGTGGTCTTATGAGAATGTGCACCATGTGATGCTAACATTCTCCAAAAGAGCTTTCCCAAAGGTAGCATTCATTCAGCTATAGAAAATAATTAGAAAGCCCATTGGCATCTCTGTGTAGTTTATACATTATAGTATGTGTTCTTGGCTGGTCTACGTGATGGAAAAAATCGAGTAAGATACCAGAAAGTAGACTGGGTGCAGTGTGAACCGATGCAAAGGTGGAAAGGGCATGGCCTAGAAAAAGGCAGAGGTTCAAAAAAAGCCCTCTGAGGTTTTGTTTCATTGCCACAGTTCTTAGTCATATAATTTCCTTTGTGGATCTCACCAGTAACAAATGGGCCTTAGAAAATGAATCAGTATGCTAGTTGGAAAATGCCAAAAGTCCTTTTGTCTCTTCAACTGTTAAGTTTTCTTGTTTTGTACCCTCTCTTTATTCTATGAGTCCTCTTTTCAGAATAATTAGAAATCCCATAATTACAAGAGCTTCCTTGGTACCTACATTCCCCTTCTGAGATCAATTGCAGCTGGACCCACCATGGTCACAGCCAACTGGGCGAGAGCAGGCCCCTGGCCGACAGGTGGCCAGTCTTCAGGCTACTGACCACACTGTGAGAGCGCTGGGCATGAGAAACTCTGCTCAGGCAAGGCAGTCAGGTTCCTCCTTGTCTTGGAATTATGAACTGGGAATTGTGGACATGAGCAGCCTATTAGTCACAACAGAGGCTGAGAAGAGACAGAAAAGAACAGCTGAGCCAGTTAACTGGTGGACCTGACAGAGATGATCCGTCTCCTGGGGCTGCAGGAAAACCAGAGTTTTTCAGGTACTTAAACTGAATCCTAGTTTTGAATAATTCTGATAGGATTAATATTAACAATAATGACCATTATAACAGCTAACATGTACTGCACCCCTTACTTAGTGCTAAAAAGCATTCTAGGCAGTTTTACAAGTATTAATTAATTCAGTTTCCACTATAACTCTGTGAGGAAGATGATGATGATGATGGTGGTGGTGGTATTGAAGCACAGAGAAGTTAAGTGGCTTGACTAAGGCTGCACAGCTCCTAAGTGGCAAAGACACAACTGCTCCACAGTCTGTTCTTCCAACCAGTATGTGCCTCCCTGTGAGGATCATCCTGGGTTTCCCATCTTCTTTATTCTCCATCCTTATAATAAAGCCCCTTTATTAAGGGGGCCTGACAGTCTATTTCTTGCCCCCCCCATTGCCTCACAATTAGCATTTTTCTTGGATCTACTCATGATGAATCATAGTAACTTAAGTATATATTTATTAGTTCAAGAACTATTTAATGCTTACTGTGTACCAGGAACTGCTCTAAGCTTTGGAAGCTAATGAAGAAGCAGCACTTTTCTATCTCTCAGGAACCTTCTACACTGCCATGGCCTTATGCATGATATAGCCTATTCTTGTACGTATTGTACCCTATTTTTGCATAAGAATATATTGTATCCTGAGCTCACTGATAAAATAATGTCTAAAAAGCACATTTAAAAAAATCACTATATTCCAGCCAAGATGGAGGCATAGGGTAGATATACTTTGCTTCCTCACACCACCAAAAGAAGGATAACAACCAATTTAAAAACAAAAAAACAACCAGAACTGACAGAAAATCAAACTGTATGGAAGTCCAACAACCAAGGAGTTTAAGAAGAAACATTCATCTAGACTAGTAAGAGGGGTATAGAGGACTCGTGTGGCAAGGGGGTGGCTGGCGGACCGGGTTGGTGAGCGGCGACTGGCAGACCTGGAGGTCCCACATTCACAAGTGGATAAACCAGGAAGGATAACTGGAGAGCAAGGCAAACTGTGCAACCCAGGGTTCCAGCACAGGAAAATAAAGCCTCAAAACCTCTGGCTGTAAAAACCTATGGGGATTGTGGCAGCAGAAGAAATTGCTGGTCTCACAGGCAAGTCTGTTGGAGGGGCCCACAGTGTCCTAGAATGTACACAAGCCCATCCACCTGGGAATCAGCACCAGGCCAGCACCCGAAAGGGCATAATTCACTTGTGGGTAGCAGAGGAGGTGACTGAAAGCAGGGCAAAAGCCGAGCAAGTGGCATTGTTCCCTCTCTGACCCCTCCCCCACATATAGCACTACAATTCAGTAATGTGAGTTTCCCTGCCCTGGTGAATACCTAAGGTTCTAAGCCTTACAACATAATAGATGCACCGAGACAAAGAAATATGGCCCAAATGAAAGAACAGATCAAAACTCCAGAAAAAGATAGCCAACCTATCAGACTCAGATTCAAAATACTGGTAATCAAGATGCTCACAAAAATGACTGAGTATGGCCACAAATAAAGAAAAAAGGCTATAAAAAGTGAAAAAAGGAAAATATACAGGGAACCAACAGTGAAGGGAAGGAAACAAGGACTCAAGTCAACAATTTGGAACAGAAGGAAGAAATAAACATTCAACCAGAACAGAATGAAGAAACAAGAGTTCAAAAAAATGAGGAGAGGCTTAGGAACCTCTGGGACAACTTTAAACATTCCAACATCCGAATCATAGGGGTGCCAGAAGGAGAAGAGGAAGAGCAAGAAATTGAAAACTTGTTTGAAAAAATAATGAAGGAGAACTTCCCTAATTTGGCAAAGAAAACAGACATGCAAATTCAGGAAGCTCAGAGAGTCCCAAAGAAATTGGACCCAAGGAGGAGCACACCAAGACATCATAATTACATTACCCAAGATGAAAGATAAGGAGAGAATCTTAAAAGCAGCAAAAGAAAAGGAGACAGTTATCTACAAAGGAGTTCTCATAAGACTCAGCTTATTTCTCAAATGAAACCCTACAGGCAAGAAGGGGCTGGAAAGAAGTATTCAAAGTCATGAGAGGCAGGGACCTACATCAAGATTATACTACCCAGCAAAGAAAGCTATTATTTAGAATGGGAGGGCAGATAAAGTGCTTCCCAGATAAGGTCAAGTTAAAGGAGTGCCTTATCACCAAGCCCTTATCATATGAAATGCTAAAGAGACTTATCTAAGAAAAGAGGAAGATCAAAACTATGAACAGTAAAATAACAACAAACACAACTATGAACAACTGAACCTAAAAAAAAAAAAACTAAGCAAACAACTAGAACTGGAACAGAATCACAGAAATGGAGATCATATGGAGGGTTATCAGCAGGGGAGTGGGAGGGGGAGAATGGGGGAAAAGGTACAGGGAATAAGTAGCATAAATGGTAGGTACAAAATAGGGGAGTTAAAGAATAGTGTAGGAAATGGAAAAGACGAAGAGCTTATATGTATGACCTATGGATTAGAACTAAGCCAGGGGGAATGCTGGAGGGAGGGGGATGCAGGGCTGAGGGGGATAAAGGGGAGAAAAAATGGGACAACTGTAATAGCATAATCAATAAAATGTATTTTTTTTAAAAAAGCACTACAATGAAAACAGACTAAGTAAAGATGGCTCCCTCAGAGGTCTTCCTTCCTGGGATGCAGGGTCAGAGCCAAGGGGATGGCAACAAGTCACGCTCAAGCCGGCTGAGAACAGCTCTACAGGAGTAGGCGCTGCAGTGTCCCGCACAGACACTGAAGAGCAGCGGTGAGTGTTCAGAAGCATGAACCATGGCCTCGTCCTCTGCTCTGTGGTAGCTCATTGTTGGCAACTTGTTCACAGAACAGATCTCCCTCATCACCCAGTAGGTATTTATGTGTCTGTAGCACCTGTGAGATGGATGCTCCCAGACACCAGGGGTCACTCCTTATCTGCCACTCCTACAGCGCCTGGCACACATCTTTACATCTGACAGGCACTGAATACATTGATTGATTTATCTACTTTTATCGTTAAAG